TATGGAAAGGTCTCAGGGGGCTTGATTGCACTGTTCAGATGGTCATGGTGGCAGCGGCAGGGATACAAGTTTAACAGAAAGATGTGGGATATTTGCGTAATACTGCTTCTGAAATCCATTGGAGCTCAAGCTCTTTTGGGGTAGCCTTAATTTGTACCTCTTGTTTAATATGCGACTTGCTTTGTGAAATTTTAACACCATTAAACTCTCAGTGGATGGAAGCTTGATTGCTTTCCAGTTCTTACACTTGAAATAGCATGTCGTATATATCCCATAGAAGGAATCTGTAAGCCTAGGCACAAAACTGCTGGCTCTTTCTCCAAGTGACAAGCACAATATAACAGCACATTGGCTGTTACCTGAACAGGGTACCAACCCCGGCTCCTTTGCTCAGGGGCCTTAGCTGGGGGAATCTCCTCTACGGAGAATTTTTTTTAAATTTTGTTCTTTAATTGGGTTAGGAGTCATGCAGTTCTCTTTATACTTTCTTTCTTTCTTTTTTTCTTTCTGGCCTGATGAAGAAATAGGACAGATTATCCTTCTCTGGGAAACATGCTTCAGCTTTGCTGCACATATGATCTGCTTTAGAAGCTGAGATATAGTCCAGGGCTTCACAGCACCTGCAAGAAAGTCCTGTGGTAGGTGCCTAAGCACAAGGGGTGATGGGGTGGAGAAGCTATGAAGGAATTTTAACAGGAGGAAGGAATGTGAAACAAAACATCTGGAGAGTAGGAACATATAAGAGACCTATCTAGGCCATATGAAGCTTTCGTTCCATTGTTGGGACAAAAACCAGATCCCAACTCCATTGCTGGATGGGTAATCTCTCTCCGTACTTTGTCAGATAAATAGTTTTTCTCTCAACCTGGTGATCAGCATCTCTAAGGATGAGAGTGGTTTGAAAGGGGATATAACTGCATTATCTTGGGTACAGCTGTGAGATGATTGACCTTAGGCTCACAGTCACAATGCACAGGGGTGTCTGATGGCAGGGAAGTCAAGGCCTTGCAGTGTATTAATTAATTTTGCCAATACATTTCTTTATAATGCGCATACAGTTTCATGAGAAACTCTGGAGAATCCTGTGGAAAAAAAAAAATCTCTGGAGAAAACCAAAATGCCAAACATTAGATGTTCCTTTCCTTTCCTTTCTTTCTTTCCTTTCTTTGATTGTTTTAATTATTCTGTGGTGGTTTTAATGGATTTGAGACAGTAAAGCAGCAGCTGCCTTTTATTTCTAGCTGCTTTTTGTGAATAATTAAAAAAAAAGAAAATTTACATTTTGGAAAAAAAAAACCTGTGGGCTTTTTTATTGGTACAAACATTGTATTTAACACTAGGGGTTTTGTACAGTTTTTTGCCTTTTCTACTAGAAAACAATGTAAAGTGATTCACAAATGTGACAAGAAAACAAATTGCCACTATGACCAAATGTAGAATCTGTTCTGCAGTTAACAGGATTTAATCAACTCAAAGTCGTGATTCTGTTGTAGCAATGCTTTTCTTTACCCTGTTTGAATTGTTCCTTTTTCTTGTTTGATTTGCAAAACAAAATGTCTTTTTTGTGTGAAATTGTGTTGTACTCTGTAGAAAATTATGGATTTTACTTTAGTGGTTAAAAAAGAAGCACATGTTGCTTTTCTGATCACGGAGTTTGTGTAGTGGATTTAAAAATGAAAGTTTTGTTACAAGTTTGGAACGAGCGAGTATGTATTAAGGAATTTTCTTCCTTTTGTGTGTGGTTTCTTTTTGTCCCACTGGGGAACTTAAAGCTGTTTTAATTGCACAGACACACAGACAGAAGTCATTTTGTATATGCCAAGTGTGGTATCTCCCTTTGTTTATTTGCTATTAAACTGTTTGAGAAGAAATTTTTGTGTCATCCTTGTATTTACTTACATAGAGCAGGCAAATTGGTATATTGATATCAGGGTATAAGAAAAAGGATTGCTTAGTCTAAATGTATGTGGAAGCTAGAATAAATTGGTAATATATCATCTTTTCTGTCACTGGAGTGTTGCTTCCCCAGACTCAAAAGCTCACCTTTTTTCCCTCTCTTAATTTAAATGAATTTTTCTGAGCTTTTCACTTTCTTTAAGGCTTATTTTCCAGCTTTGAGGTAAATTGACTGGGCCAGGATCAGTTTTATCAGGGATTTTTCTGACAGACTAGTGTATGAAATATAAACATACACAAGATTTGAGGGGTAGTTTATTGTACAAAAGTGTTTATCCCATAATTGCTGATTCAGCTTTCTTTCTGTTAAGTTTATCTTATTGTTTAAATCACCTTTGGAAGGTTGCCACATTTTTAAAGCATAAAAATAATATATGTGGTCTGATAGATTTTTTTTCCTCCTAATTCCTGCAACCGTATTTGCCTCTTTAAGTGCTATTGCAAAACTTTTATGCTTTTTATTATAAGTATTTATATTGAATTCATAGACCATGAATGTTATGTATAAATATGATTATCTGTATTACAAGCAAACAACTATGGAGGCCTTCTGTACTTTGACTATATTGCAGGATGCAGTTTCTTCAAATTACTACAAAGTCTCAATTTACTGAGAGTGAATATCAGGCCAGCTGTTCTCCCTTATAAAAATGCTGGGGGGGGGGCTTATTCTTTACTACTGTATAAAGGAAGCAAAGTCCTACACCAAATGATATGAAGATTATGAGGTTTAGTCAGCTAGGGGCAAGTGTTGAGAGTTATTTTCCTATATAAATAAAAGGTCTAGAAGTTATCAAAACAATGAACAGATGGAAACTGCCCCGCCTTTGGAAAAAGGGGGCCATCCAGTCCTGTGCATAGAAAGAGCAGGAGAAAAGGGGCTGATAGTTTTGCTGCCCTGATATATGGGTGCCCTATTTGATACTAAATATTAACTGGAATTCTTTTATAACTTTTACCTTCTAATAAGCACTAAATCCTGCCATCTAATAAATATTAATAATCACTTGGATTCTTGTTCCTTGAATCAAGTTAAAATAGAAACATGTCATGTTTCTCCTTACAGGAACTTTTTTATGGGTTTGTATGAACCATTTCTGCAATATTTTTTCCTGCTAGAATAACCCCTGTAAAAGACTTTTAAAAGGTTTTAAATGAATATTTAATTAGCTTAATTTCAAATGTATGGTATTTAATCATTGTGCCCTCTGTTGCACCACTACAAAATTCTGCGTCATCTGTTTTGTGATAATGAAACAACAGAAAATTGAACAGCTGTTTCAGAGTCATTCATAAGGGTGAGTGGAAAATGGAGGACACGCTTGAATTATCAACTTGACATTGGTGAAATTATATATGTTAATACCAAAGTGAAACCAGTGTTTGAATGAAGCAAGAACTGTATAAGAAAAGCCTCTGCTGTGCTACTTGTTTCCTGTTTTTCCCCCTTGACTAAATGCTTAAAAATCTAATCAAACTTCAGATTAACCATTCAACTTCTGTTAATTATAGATACAGTTCAAGATTTCCTGTTGTATTTTTGAATGAAAGGATTCTCAGACAAGGCCATCCTGGGAATAAAGGCCCTTAAAACTCAATCTGGTTACTAAAATAAACCTTAATGGTTTTACAGGAGCCCTGATCTAGTGGGCTATGGCATTCTTGAATTCTAATATAAACATTTTTTATGAATTAAAAACTTGATTCTACTGAAATCCCAGTAACAGTACTTAAGTAATTGCCATATACTGAGATAAATCATTTTCCATATGGTTCAACTGGCATTAAAGATTTAGACAGGGATGTACCTGATACTCTTAGGGATCGGATCTGATACATTTTACAGGTATTTACCTAGCTACTAAATTCCAGCTCTTCCCAAAGTTTTTTTGTTAGGTACAAGTGCCATCATGTGTAAAGAGCCATATGGCATTGCATCACGTACCACCTCTAGCCTGGTCTACACTTGCAACAAAATGATGCAGGTGAACTTGAACTGCAGGTGGAGGAATTTCTAGTTTTTAATTTTTGGCACATATTGCTTAATACAAACTATTCCAAATTAAATAAACTTGGCTATAATGTTCTGATAGGTAGTTTTTACAGGCACTATCTTTTTTTTAAATACAGGGAAGTATTGAAAACATTACTCCTTACAATCTGGGACATAATCTCATTATGCTGCATGCTTAGAGTAGTTAAATTATAAATATTACCAAGCAGATTACATAAGAACTAAACATTTAAGATGGACAAATTTCACATTCCTAATTAGCTCGAAGGGATATGCTATATAATGCAAGGGAGTAATAAGAAATTCTAGAAGAAAAAAAAATGCTTCTCTCTAGTCTCAAAAACAAAACATTGTGGTGGTGGTTTTAGAGTACTGACTTGCACAACTGTCATTAACTGTCTTTGCACTTCCCCACAACTATTGATGTTTGATACTGAAAAGGAGCTTGGATTGCCAGCTAACATACAAACCAGCTTGATATCCAGAAATAATTTTTTTCCACATGCAAATGAAGTTACTTGATTTTTGCAGGTAAGCTTCTCTTCCAGTATGCTGCAGCAAGGATTAATGAAAAGATTGAAAACATTAGCTGGGTTTATCACCGATATTTGAGCATAAAACTTGGATCTCATAAGTCTGATTTCCATTTTGACTCTGCTGGGAATTTTATTTTACTGTCACGTAAGCCTTCTGTCTCCCAGTATCAGTCTCTCCTATTTAAGTGGGACTGTGGTTTAACAAATTTGGGGGGGGGGGGGGTCCAATTAAATGAAAAAATTTTTGTTGTTTTTCAAAAGATTT